AAGCACTTCTCTTTTTTTTTTTCTTTTTTTAGTAGGTGGAACAAAAGATCAGGAAGGATTTCCAACAACCTCCACGTGTGTAATTGCTGTTACTCCTGAGCACTCTCTTGGCTCTGTCTGTGACTTCGCTTTGTGCAGGTGCAGGATCTTCGGTGGAGTATGGCAGGAATTCTCCTTCTCTACTCTCACACTACTTTTGCTTAAAGCCTTGTTGCAGTCTGTAATAATTAGTGTTGTCAGAGGAATTGGTCTGTATTCAAGGACTCGTAAGACATGGTACCTGTTAGGTGAGTTAGTATGTTGTTTCCTGGGGGGCACGTCTGCCTAGGAGGAATGAACTGGCACAGTTCTCAGTGGTAAGCCGTGCAGCTGCTGTTATGCTGATATAGGTTCTTTGCATAGGGAGCAAATCCTAAACAGAACTTTGGTATAGGAAGTAAATCCCAACCTGAACTTCTGCAAAATGCATTGGGTGAATATTCCTGTGCTGTGTGTGGCTGAGGTCAGTGGTGTGTGCTATGCAGAAGGATGGAGGACTGTATCCAAGGGGTATGCGGTTACACACATACATGACAAAGGATTGTTGGTGTTTATTGAAGAAGCCTAACATTTTCAGGTTCTTGTGGGTTTTTTTCCTCTTACACCTGAACCCACAGATGTGACTTCTTCAGATCACTACTGCCAGCAAAGCTTCTGCTACAGGCTGTTGGCTATTGATGGATGAGTAGTTAGGTTCTGGTTGCATACTTCTAATTAATGTTACGAAGACTGATGTTAGATAAAAGTTAACGGGACAGCATTCACAAAAATAAAATCTTCCCCTTAAGTTTGATGCACCAAGTGATATTTGTGGTTGTGCAAGGAGTGGAAGCAGGTGAGCCAGGTTCTGCTATGGAAGAAACACTGCTGTGCATTCCCTGCTACTGCACGTCCTCATTGCAGAGCTGTCAGTGCTCCTCTATTTACAGCGCACGTCCTAAAAAAAAAAAGCTTGGCTGATTTATCATGTAGGATGTATGGAAAAAGACAACACTGCAGAAAAGAAAAACTGGGAACTTAATTTTTATTTTTTGTTGAGAGCTGTAAAGCTCACTGTTTACCTTGTCCCTTCCAACTCTTGGAAGTAACGCACACAGATGTTAGACAAAGTTTGTGCTCAGTAAAGCAAGAGGCCCAAGTTTAGCTGTATTGAAATGGAGCTTGCTGTGAAATTACTTGAGGATGTAATGGACACAGCCATGAACAGAGCTGGGGCTTGCCTGCAGGCCAGCTCTGCTGGGAACAGATTGTCTGCAGAACGCCTTGGGACTGCGGGAGGAGGGGGATAAAGCACAGAGTGAGAATTCACAACTAACTGTAATGTGTGCTTTTTTTTCCTCTTGTTTTTACCAGACAAGGCCAATATATTAATGACATGAGCTTTGAAATCTGTTTTTTAAGCAAATAATTGGTTAAGGGAAAAAAAAAACTAAACAACAAGAAGCTGGAGCTTTGTGAGTACCTGAGTGAACACCTGATTTAGGACAGTTTTTACATCCTGTAGAGAGAGTAAAATTGAAAATCAAGTCCTCTTTATTTTATAATTCTAAGTTTTGTGTTTCTTGTGCTTGGAAGAAACTTCTTTAATATTTGGGAAACGACACAAGTGTGGTGATGGGGATTTCTGCTTCCCATTGCAGCACACAGCACGGGCAGTGGAGCAAAGAAAGTATACATCTCTCCTTACATAATTAATACTCTTAATTTATTTGCTTATCACCATGAAGCTTGCAAAATAAATCCTCTAAAGTATCAAACTTGTTTCTGTGAACTCCCAAGCAAACTTCCAGCTCCCAGCAGCTGCAGGTGTTGGCTTGTGTAACAGCCCAGCACAGCCCTGCCCGCTATGGGCCAGCAGCACCGCTGGGCTCAGCGTGTCCTTTTGACACTGGATCAGGATTTTTAATATATTTTTTTTAACATGATGGGAAACGGAACTGGTTTTATGTAACTGTTCTGCTTGAATTGGTGGTAATTAGGTCAGTCTTACCTTTTGCAGTTTTCTGTTTTTTCCTTTTAATTCTTTTTTTAGCTTATTTGCCTCAGCAGCTTTCCAAACTTACGTTGCAGGCTATAATCAGAATTACTGCTTTCTAATCACTTTTAAACAGGCTTTATTCATCACTTAACTTGCCTTACTTTGCCAAATTACTAATAACATTTTTCATTTGCCAAACTAAGGTTCACTGACATTGGTCAGTAATCCTTTATTTTTTTTCTCGTTTTCATTCAGATGCAACCAAGAATGAGTAAGTGTTCTAGACACCGTTTCTAATAAATCACAAATGCATTAATAACCCTGGAATTTGCAAGGCATGACCTAAGACACCAACAGTCACTAGATGCAGCAACTGGTGCTTAACACTGGAAATGTCCATTGTTAACACATTCCCAGGAAATATTTTAGGCTTATTGGGGGAAAATGTCATACGTTTGATAATCGGGTCTTTCTGAGTTAGCTGATAACCAATTTCTTCTGGGTATTTTAAGTTGTCTGTTCTGTTTTCCTCTCAAGTAACCCGCAGGGTGTTAATTAAAAGGCATTAATTTCTGAAAGCAGAAATCATTGTCTCATAGCTGTTTTGTTGTGTATCATCATACAGAAAACAAGGTTTTGTAGTCCTCCTTAGCCTCTGTCTCTGCTGTTTGCAGTTAACTTGTGAGGAGGTGCATCTTTTTTGAGTCCTGCTTGCATTCACATTTAAAGCATTAGAACTATTTCTTATTATCATAATTAGGATCCCTCTGCTTTGTTTCTTATAGCAAACAACATTTCTTTCCCTGAAACTTGAGCATTCAGTTGTTGTCTGGATAGTGCAAATCCATTCCTTGCAGTGGGAAGAGAATTTGCTAAGAAAAAAACAACACCAGGGGAGCAAAGTAATTGCTGACCTGTATTCGAAGCCATGGCTGAAGTATATAATTAAAAATACTTATATTTAGATACTGTGGTGATAAGTGTGGTGAAAGTATTATAAACTGATATGAAGGGAAACTCCAATTTTCATGCTCTGTAATTTCAAATCTGATTACTTTAAAAATGGACCAAGACTATTTTCCTGCATTACTTCTGCTAGCTTACCTCGAATAATTTTAGTGCTTAGGATAAATCCAAGTGTATACCTGTCCATCAGCCCGTTTCTATAGAAAAACCCACACAGAGTAGTGGGGGGAAAAAAAAAAAAAAGGAGAACTGGCTATAAGGGGCAACTGAAACCAAGTACTAGATGCCCAGAGTAGAAAACAGGAAATAGTTTCATAATCTCTTTACTCTGTGCTTAGCAAGAGCATCTAATAAACTTGTAATGTCAAGGTCTATTGAGCTGGGGCTGCATCAGAGCTGACTGCCAGCACTGTCCTGGTTGGAAGGCAGCTCTGCCCTGCAGCCCTCCTGTTGAATGGGGCTGAGGAGCATGTGGCCAAGTTGCTTTGTTAATGCATTTTGGGTGTCTCTCAAAGAAGCAGGTGTTCAGACAGCTCAGTGCAATTGCCGTATGATTCTTTGTAAAAGCATTACTGGGTTACTTTTGGGTTGGAGATAGGTTATCTTGCTACTGACACCATTGTACCAAGCACTTTGCATCGGACCATTGTAAGGTGCCATAGCTGCATAACTACTTTTGCAGGCCATGATGCAGCCAATAATCAATTATTTGTTATACTGGGGTGACTTCTAAATAGAGTAGAATGAAGAAGGCAGGCAATGAGCGTGGGCAGGGGGTTGGATTGGCTCCTGGTGGGGAAATTTTTAATTAGAGTAAATGTTTAATTAGAGCCAATGTCTTCAGCTTTGAAACAGGCACCGAGCAAGAGCGGAGGACGGGGTGATATGGAGATACATAAAGCCATGACTGCCACAAGAACTATTATTCATCACTTCTTTTGCAACTGGAAGAATGTGAGGCACTCGGCAAAACAATCAGGAAGCAGATCTAAAATAAATAAAAGCACTTTGTAGTTTTCCAGCCGACGCCTCGTTACATTGTGAAATGTGTTGCCACAGGATGTTTTGGATACTAAAAATGTGAATGGGTTCAAAAAACATTAGACAGATGTACAGGGGGCACAGCAACTGCAGGCCTGGATCTCTCTGGGAGCCTTGCTGCAGGAAGGCTGTGTGCTGAAAGCTGGAGGGTGTATTGGGACAGGGTTTCTCAACGGCTGTTCTTCTGCTCTTATTTTTTCTTTCCTTTCTTGGATCCATTTGGGTACACTGGGATGCGAGGCTAGATTAACTTTTCCTATGTTATGGTGCATGGAGGATTGTTTCTCAAGGTGGGAACCAGTTATTTTGGAAAACCCTCGCTAGGAATCAGCGTGATGTCGGTAAAGCTGTGTCTGCTGTGGGCTGTGGTTAACTCATGTTTTCATCCCTTTCTGCTTGATGGGGCTGTGGCTGCGTGAAGCCTAAAGGCTTTGTCTTTTCATTAGAAGGGAAAAAAGCAGTCTTCAACTCTGCCACGCGATCCTCAAATAACTTTGGTAAGCCTTGCTCTCCTAGGGGGCTGCCTCTTCCCACTGCAGATGGGCATACAAGTTCTTGTGTGAATGTTTGAAAAGAAGCAAGACTGCATTTTATTTTTTCCCAGGTGACCCGAGGATAGAAAAAAATGCACAAAAATTGAACAGATTAGTTCTGCTGCTCTGCAGACCCTTGACTGTACGCTGCTGCCTCGAGGGAATCCTCGCATGGATTAAGTCTCTTTACACTGACATCAGTAAAATTATGTGTGTGTAAATGGCAATGCTTTCAGGATTCATCCTTTGATTTCACTGAATAATTATCCATTAGCAAGGCACTAATTTCCACATTTTGCTGCAACTTTTCCCTTTCCTCTGCCCATGCTGTTTCCTTCTTCCTCTCAGAAGACAGCAGTTCTGTTATTTTACTGAGTAAATTATCTCTTAAAGCATGTTTAAAATGTGATCATTTTACTTTTGTGTTCCTTTTCTCTTTTCAGGACAGCCCAGAAACTTGCAAGATCTATGCCGAATTAAAATCCGACAGTGTATAGGCCTTCAAAACCTAAAACTACTTGATGAACTACCCATTGCCAAGGTTATGAAAGACTACTTAAAACACAAATTCGATGATATCTGATATCCATGAAGAGAAGAACTCTGAGCAAGATTAGTTATATTCCAGATACTGAAGAGGCTTGTTGCCTTGCACAAAGTATATCCTATGCAAATTCTGATTTTTCTGTGAAGTCAGAAGGCAGGTATACACTTCCTTGGGTTTTTTTATGCCACATGCTAGAAGGTCTTAATTTTTGGTTTCTTGGTCCAAGTTTACAAGGTCCAAGCTTTCTATACGATGTTACATTTTAGAATTTGCTGTTGGGTTTTCAGTTTTGTTTTCACATTCGGTGTGCAGACTTGCAGTGGAGGTGGAATGTGGCCTAACGACGGAGGGGGTTGCTTTGAATTGGCATGCTGAGCAGAGGTTTGATAAAAGTCTGGAAATCAAGGTGCCAGTCCTGCAAGAGATACCGATAGACCTCTGGAGACCTGTGTGTGGTCTGTTGGGGCTTTTTGTCTCAACCAGGGTGGATGTTTTTGCAGGATAGGGAAGAGTTGATAATCAAAATGTAATTGGGTACTGTATGAGGATAATTTGGAAATTTAAGAAGTAATAATATCACTCTATTCAATTCAAGAGCCTTTTTATTTTGCCCTCTTCTTCTTTCCTGTAGTTCAGATGCCCATCAAATTCAGCCCTCTTTGCTGACGTTCCCTGTACAGCGGGCGGCTCTTTTTGTCTCATCCTGACAGTGATGGAACACTACAAAGAGGCATAGCCTCTTTATTTTTCACATTAACTTAAAAAAAAAAAAAAAAAAATCTAGACTTTTGAAGCCAACGTATTGTTTCTCATACAGTGCCTCCTGTGCAATAATCTTTCTGATGTATTTTCCCTTTACGTGTGATTTTTTTTTTTTAAATTCCTTCCCCCACTATTCCTCATCTAGTCTCAGTGCATTATTTGTGAGAATAGGAACTGCTGCCTCACTGCAGTGTTAACAGGACATTACTGAGGTGGTGGCAGTTGCTGTTCGTTTTTAATCCCTGAATTTCATGAATGTATAACCTGCTTTATTTCACTTTCAGTTGGAATTTTATCTGTGGGTTCTCAGCCAAATTGCATCCATTTTAAAAAAAGTAGGAAAGAAATTGGCCAAGCCCTTCATTTTAAAGACAGCGATGAATTTTGTTGTTGTTATTATTGCTCTGAAATTCAATTTATTTCAGCTTAGAGAGTGGGAAGTGCACATAAGTGGTGTTCAGCTGCACCTTATATGCACACAAACAAGAAAGCACCCTCTTCGTATTGGAAGTTTAAATTCTGCAAACATCAAGTGATTTCCTAGTAATCTAAAAGCAGCAACTGAAAGGAGTACTGAAATTTGGCTACTGGATGTGTTCTTCATGCTAGGTATTAAAAAGATCTGTTAAAGAGTTTTGTTTCTGATCATAACAAATGAAGTTCTTGCTATCAAAGAAAGATTGGGCCAAAATTTGAAGCTGTTTCACTCTCTTTATTTTCAAGAGATTATGAAGTCATCATATGCCAGTGTCTTCTCCTTTTGCCATCCCACTGACTCCAGAAGAGCCCCTCTCATGTCAGGAGTGTTTTGTACCCATTATACCAATGGAAATGGGGAGATGAAAGGAACCGATGGTGGCTTTTGATTTTAACACTGTCACTTTCAAAATGTTTAGTATTAAAAATACTAAAAAAAAAAAAAAAAAAAAAAAAGGGCAGAAGCAGGTTTAGTCACATTGTTTCTCTGCTAGTTGATTTTAATACCTTGTAACCCTGGGTTGCAGTTCCTGAAGCCTGAATCTTTTCACTGGTAACGGATGCAGCAGAGCTGTGGCAGCAAGAAGGCTTCTTTCTGTGCTTAATGCTGCATCAGGCTTCCAAACCATAAGTGGTTTTGGAGATTCGTGGCTCAGAGAATTGGTGATGGGGTGTAGAACCTCTTGATCTCCAGCTTGCACCGGTTCCAGTGTGGCCCACTCAGCAGCACATGAACTCCAGGTTAATGTGAGCACTGGGAGTACCCATGGCTGATCCCCAAACTGCACCACTGAGCCTTGGCCACCAGTAGGGCTTGGTGGGGCTCCAGCCAGGTGATGTGTGGGGGCAGACTGAGCGTGTGGATGTGAGTGTGACAGTGTCCGTAGCTGTGGAGGAAGCAGGAAGGGTCAGCCCTTAGGGTCTAAAGCTCTGCAGAACTGAAACATGATGAAAACTAAGAACTGGCAGGTTTGAAGCATGAATCTTCTCTTTTGTAACACAAGATCAGAACCTTAAAACTGCTTCTTGTTTTTTTTTTTTTTAAATACTTAGTATTGTACACTACACTTGTAAGTTGGTCTAAACCAATATCTTTTCCCACTGAATTTTTACAGTAATATTTTCTAAGGTAATCTAGAGTATATTTTAGTTGCAATCTATATTAAGGCAAATTATTTGTTCTGTTTGTTGCTGTGACTGAAGAAAATTATGGAAGACTTGTTGGTAACAAGAATGCTATTTAATGAAGAAATGTGTAATTCCATTATTTATTGTTTGAGGTTTGTTTTTTGGTTATTTAAGTAACTGACGTCTAAAGGGAACACATACATTTCAGGCCAGTAAAGAACCTTTATTTTAAATTCATTTCCATCCTCTCTTCTTTCCCTTCCCCAAGGTGGAGGGAAGCCCTCAGCATTTCTTATATGCCAAGCCATCTCTTGCAGCTGGTTTCTCTGACCTCAATTCAGCAAAGTGCTGCAGCACGTGTATCTCTGAGCCTGCTGATAGTCCTGGTTGCTATCTTAAGTTATACGTGTGCTCAGCGAAGTAGGGTTACTCACTGTTAATCCTACCCAAATTTCATGTGGAATCTGGTCTTTTTTTTATGATTTAAATTAATATGCACAAATACTTTGAAGAAGTAAATGGACTTTGTTTTTCATTTGGACTAGAATGTGGAAAGAGAAGTGCATAATACAGATTTGTTATGTAGCCTAGATCCATTACCGTAAAATTCACAGTTGAACACTTTTAATAAACCTTAAAAAATTGGCAAGTACACCAAAGAATCAATATGAGTAAAAGACTCTGATCGTTAACAAACTGCAAACCTCATCCTTTAAAACAAAGTGGAAAGTTTTTGTAAATATTTGTTTATAAATGTACAGCAGAGTAAGAGTGTTTTTTTAGATTATTTAATTACCATATTTCTAAACTATTTACATTATAGACAATACTTGTTAGTTTGAAAAGCTCTTGTGTGTTTTTTGGTTGTTTTTTTTTTCCTTGTGGATTTGTTTCTGGCTCTTTGGGTTTCGTTTTTTAAATTCATTATCACTCATGCTTGGAATAACTTTGGCTTCCTTGGGATAGCGTGGAAAATTCTTTTTTTTTTTGGCTCTAGTTGGCTATAGTAGGAGAACACATCTGGACAAACTCATCAGAGAAACACCCTGAGGCAAAAGAGAATATGTAGCATGTTTACTAAGGAAGACCTGAATAGGTGAAAAATTTGGGATCCCAACTTTCTCATTTAAATCTGTCCAGGGCCCACAATGATGTTGTGATGAGCAACTTGCACCTTGCCCACAAGTCTGGCTTCCATGCAACTCTGTGTTACCAATGCCATGATGTATTTTGTTCTTCCTTTGCAATGTAAGCTTTTGCTTTTGGATCAACTCAGATTTAAAAGAAAAAAAAAAAAAAAAAAATTGAATCTGGTTTAAAACCTTTTTTTCATTTATGTTCTGTTGATTTTCAATGTAATGTTTTAATAACATGATACCACTTTACACATCTCCTCTCAATGTCTGTCCGTCTCTTCTACTCCTTTTACCGTCTCCTGTGCATGTGATTCTGTCAATGCACTGGGTGGGTATTGCAGTTTGCCCTCCCTAGTAGCACTTCAGATGTCTCATGCAATAGAATGTGCATTCTACCAGGAAATAAGAGCATAAAACTCACTGCAACTAGAGCTGGGCTTCAGAAGGGAGAACAATCTGCTCTCACTATGAATGGTGTTTGGGTTTTCCCTACTTTGATTCCAGTGTAACCACTTCAGGGTTTTCCAAAAGTTTTGCCTTTTTCTCCCAAAGTTCACGTGCTGGCTAAAATGCAGAAATTGTCCGTACAGAGGTCATATTTTACAGATGGATCTGTTTTGTGTCCATTTACTAATAAAAAGTTGAGTCAGGGGATGTATGTGAATATTCCTGGCACGCAAATGGGAACTGGAAGCAATTGGCTTCGGTCATGAGGGATGTACAAGCCAAAGTTGTAGCAAGGTTTTGAACTGGAAAATAAACAAACAAAAACACACACAAAAAAAAAACCTGAAGAAGGAGCAGAGTAGATTTGAAAGCATAAGCTAAAGGGCTGGGGGGAGATGATTTCCATTGCCCAGTAGCACACTGCACATACATCAGTGGAGTACATAAACTGTACAATCAGCAGTTGTGTTTAGAACTGTTGATGATGGTTCCTAACAGACCAGCCACTGGTGTGTTTACTAAATGCTGCTAAAGACCTTGTTCCTGTTTACGTATCGTATTTCCCATTTGAGTGTTCATTTGTTAAGTTTAAAACAGTGGCTAATGTTACTACTTTATAGAACAAAATTATTTACAAGCTGTTGACAAATGACATTGTTTAGAGTCTGCGGCCTATCCTGGTGTAAGTGGGTGATAAGGAACTATACTTACATAGCAAAACACCTTTTTTCTTCTTAAAATAGTATATGGCTTTTTTTATTTACCATAGTAAAGCTTTTGCTTCTTTGAGAGCAGAAGTGATGGAGCTGATGAAAATGAGAGAAGATCAGGGAGCTGAGCTCCGTGCTGCATCTGCCATGTGTTTCCCCAACCTCTTCCACTGAAGCATTTAACTTCTTTGCTTTTGCATGGGTTGGGGCTACCGTGGCCTCAAAGGCTTTATACAGCTCTTTGAAACTGGGTAAGTATTGAAAGGTGGAAGTTTGTTCCGTATCACTAGCATATTGAACCTTTTCTGTATAGTTGAACTTCTTGGCTCGTGTTATTAACCAAAAGAAAGCTTGGGATGTGATTTAATCTCATAAGAAACAAGCCAGATATGTGCATTGCTTTATGAAACCATGCTACCAGGAATCCCTCAGCCAGTGCATTCCCCAGGGATCCACAACGTGCAGCTGGAGCAGCAAAAGCTTGGGATCGAAAGCTGTGTTGTCTTTTATTGGGAAGTCTCCAGCTGTCTAGCAAAGAAATGGGAACTCCAGCTGTTTCCTCCACATCTGGGCTCTCCAGTGCTGCTGACGGCTGTTTGTGAGGTCCCAGGTAAGTTTTGAACATGGAAGGCTTATCTTCATGTTTGCAACAAGCTCGTGTGATGCATCTATGGGTGGTAGATGCATTCTAAAGGGTCTGAAAGCACCTCTATGCCTTCTTGAAGCTCACTCTATTTTTCTTTATTATCACACTTATGTAGTCTTACAGCTAACATGTTTGAGAGCTACAAGTGCTACTGAGAATACTTTTTCCCCAACTGTTGCAGTGTTCTGCAGACCTCTCAGCATCTATGATGGGAATGGGAAATGGCTGGGAAAGGGGAATGAAAAACATTCTAGAAGGGAGATGCTGCAAAGAGGAAATTTAAGTCTGAAAACAGCTGATATACGGCGAATAGAATCTACTCTCTGTTCAAGAACAGAACAGTGGTTTCATTCTGACATGCAAAAATGGGTTTATTTGCAGATCATTTTCTGTCACTTCCATTAACTTGTTCCTTGTATTAAATTCTGTCCTCATTTTTTACTTATACCACTGTAGCTCATCTGAAGCCAATTGTTACTTCCCAGTTAATCTGGTTTAAAGCTCTTGTTTTGCTCTTAGAGGTGGTGTTGTGCCCTGTCCCTGGAGACACCCAAAGTCTGAGCACCTGATTGGGCTGTTGGTGTCTCTGCTCATTGCACGGCAGGTGGACCAGATGACCTTTAAGGGTCCCTTCCAACTTGAATGATAACAAATATTTGACTTAGCCAGCTTTCAGTCCTGCTTCTCGACTTGTGACCTAATGAGGAGAATATTTTTGAAAAGCATTTCCAAAGCTGTTCATGCAGCCTACATTCACAACATTGTTCAAAATACTGGGATGCAAATCGAGTAGCATCCTGTTGGCTGGAACAGTCAAAGCTGCCTTGTCACTAACGTGTCTAAGCCTGAAGTGGGGCTGTTAACAAGACATATCTTTGTCCTGTTCAGCTATAAGTCTGTTATTTGTGATTTTTAGGCTCCCATCTGTTATTACCTGACTATAGCATTTACATGGCGTAACAAATGTCTTCCAGTACTTGATTTTAAACCTCAGAATACCCAGCTGGGGAGTATGGGCTATTGAAATGTGACTCCCAAGCTATGCATCTCTCCAGCAACTCAGCCCAAGCTCCATCCCCTAGCTGTCCAGTTACTGCTTGCCTTGTCTTGGGTTTAATATTACTGCTGGGAAGCCAAAACTAATTTTTAGAGAGCAATCAGTCTGAAAACAGTGACTGGGCTGTTTGGTAGGAGGGGTGAGGTTGGGATGTGAACTGTATGTGAGAAGGAAAGAAATGTCTGGTATGGGGCTTGTCGGGCTTGGGAATTTGAGTCCCTTAGTATAAAATAATCTGCATCAGTATTTGAGTCTGTTCCATTTCTGGTTGGGTAAGCTATGTATTGATTACGGAGCCAGAAAAGCAATCATTTTGGTTTTGCATGGTTCAGTCTTCAGTCCTGAGGAGCAGGAGACTTTGATTTCCTGCTCCAAACTGGGCAGTTAAGGATGGAGATTTCAACTTCTTTTCTTAGTGCTGTGATTACAAGGTTGTAAAACTGTGACAAAGTGGGAGAACACCCAACAAAACCCCCACATGGTCTCCAAGGCTGCCCCAGCAAACCAGTAGTGACATATCTGCAGTATTAGTGCTGTGCTCTGTATTCTGCTTCTAGTTGGTTCTTATCCAAATGCATGAAACAGCTTGATTTTCATTCAGTCTCGTTGGTTGTTTGCAGCCACTATGAGCAAACACTTCAATCAATTCCAAACAAGACATTCCTTGAAAAATGACCCAGATCAGGGCAATTTCAGTTTTATCTGGGAAACGGCTTCAGATGACCTCTGCTGCTAATTGAGCCTTATGTTTTGTGTCATCTTCTCCCCCAAGCTTGGGTACAGCACTGATTATTTTCCCCCACAAGCCATTTTGCCAGAATTTTCTGAAATCTACCATTCTAAGGGGGGAGAAATCCTTCAGTAAATGCGAATTGCTTTCACGAATCTCTGGCCCACCTTCTGTCTTAGCAGCAGAGCAGATTTTAATGAGAGCAGACCCCATGTTTTAAAGGGTGTTCTTGATTGCCACTACATTTTGCCCAGATGTTCAGCGTCTTAACTAAACTTTGTTAATTTGTCGTTGTCTTGTCAATAAAGCAGCTTTTTATCAGATGCATGTAGCATAACGGTTATTAGTTATAAACATACATACAGCTGAGTTTGCTGGCTTTGAGCATTTCCTGTGCTTTGTGAATACTT